AAGGGGGGCAAAGATAAGAAATTTAAAGAATCGGTCCAGTAGTTCTAACATCAAACTAATAGAAATTCCAAAAAGAGAACAGAGGAATAGATTACGATTAGATGGGGTGGGGGAGAGAAGTGGAGACTGTGTATTTCATTAAATGCCCTTTAGGACTACTTGATTTTTTTTCAGGTGTGGGCATAAATAACTATAGTAAAAAGAGAAATAATTATTAAATAAGAAAAGGACTAGGAATACTAAGCAAGCTAAGTAATTCAACATTATCATAATTCTATTTAGGAAAAAAATTGTCCTCTAACTTCCTCAACAAAAATATTATAACATAGGGAAATGTTGAAACATATTCAGTAAAACAAGTAGAGTATAAATACAGTGTATAAAGACACACAGTTTCATAACAAAATGTGTCTTTGCATGTACTGAAAAAATACAAGAAGATAAAAATGTTAAAGATAGTTATTTCTAAGTTGTGAAATTATGAGTAATTTTTTGGTGAATTTTGGTATTTTCTATACAGACATATTGCTTTGAAAATTGGAAATTTAGTGAAATTTAAGGAAAAGCAGTGAGAGGAAAATATTTAAAGAGTGAGGAAATGATGCCATTAATGAAGCGCCAACCTATTCTTTCTGTGAACAAATCACCATACTCAACTTGTTGCAGGCTACAAAAATACATAAGACATTGCTCCAACTTCTCAAGAAGATCACAGTCTAACATGGGAGATCAAAATGAATGTATAAACAGCCACAAATAGAATATTATGTTTCCTAGGTGTGGAGCTGATATGGTTATGATTCTTTCATGGGAAAGATCACTTTTAGATGGAAGATGAGTGAGTTTGGGAATGGAAGGATATATGGAATTTCAAGAAACCCAAATTGTATGAAGCCATTCCAGAAAGAACTAAGACACAAGTGTGAAAGCTCAAGGTGATTTTGGCTGAATTCTGGGGTAGAAGATGGGATGTATGCTTTGGAACCAGCTAGTATGGTGTACTGGATGCCAGGTAGAGGGATTTAGACTTCGATAGAAGTTGAGTCAGTAAGGGTTTTTAAGGAGGGGACTAAATAATTCACAAGAGAACACCTGGTTTAAAATCTGTTAGGCCAGCATAGGCTAGTAATGAAGACTTGAACTTGTTTCTCCGTTGTGGGATTGAAAAGGAAGGATAAACTTGAGAAACACCGAAGGAGTTGAGTCTGTGTAATTCAGCAGTTGGATGTGGGAAAGGGTTAAGGAGGCAACAAAAGGTTAAGGAGGCAACAAAAGGATGTGGGAAAGGGTTAAGGAGGCAACAAAAGGAGCTGTTGCAAATCCGGGTTATTTTAACAGTGGTAACAGTGACAAAAGAATAGTCCGAATAAAGAAGTAGTTTTGTGGAGGAAGATAATTTTGGATATGTTGAATTTTAGATTTCAGAGGAATAAGCACAAGGCAATACCCAAAAGGCATTTGAAAGTATGAGTTTGAAGTGCAGTCACTCAGCAAATACGTATTGAGTATCTCCTGTGTTTAATAACCACCATAGCACAATCAGTTCAAAATTGAGTAAAACATGACCTTTGTCCTTAGGGCAGAGCTCATTTTTTTGGAACTACGAAGATGAATAGATATCATATGGATAATCACAATGAAATCATAAGTAATGCATCATCAGACTATGGACAGAGTACTGTGAGAGCACAGAGGAGAAAACTCATCTTTGGATTAACCAAGATCATCCTATAAAGGTGTAAATGACCAGTAGCAGCTTACAAACATGGGAAACTATTCCAGGCAGGATCTGGACATTTCACGAAAATGAGGGCTTAATCTAGAGGGAACAGAGGGAGACTATTATAGTGAGAAAAAAATCGGAAGTTATGTATCTATTTGCCAGGTAGGAAGAGGTTGAGAAGCCAGTGAGGGGGAACACAGAACCTGATCCCAGAAGCTAAAACAAGAGATTTAAGGCAAATGCAAATTTGAAAGTGGCCAAGAAATTAGGAAGATTTAGAATCCAAGTTCACTGGATTTAGTGATTCAGAAGCTATTGATGACTTTATAAAAATGTCTGTAGTATCAGAATTAAGGTGTTTCAGATGGTGAGAATATAATATTTATAAAAATAAATGCAAGATAATGTGTTATACATATTAACTCACGGTTTATAAGTATTATGCAAATAAACTTATTATAGGGAGAAAATGTAAATAATATTTTCATGAACTTTATTTTTAAGAAATATCAAAGAACTAACAAGAAGTGGTCTTGTGGGGCTGGTAGAGCCATTAGATCTGGCAAGGATTGTGGTTGATGTTTGAAAATCATTTTCAAAAGAGTAGTAAGAGCATGATTTAGACTTTGAAGGAGCTAAGTACATGAAAACAAATACAAGATGGCAGTTCCCAGAAATCCTGAAACACTGCCTCTCCTCCACCCTGCGCCCCCATCCCCCATTATCTGATTAACTTACTTTTCCTTCAGTTATCAGCAGAAGTGTTCCTACCTCAGGCAGACCTTCCTGTCCAACCTTCTCGAACTAAATTAGGTTCCCTGTTTTATGCTAACACACCATTCTTTTGCTCTATAGAATCTACCACAATTTGTAATATATTGCTTGTATATTTGTTAAATGTCTATCTTCCTCACCAGTCATTTGCATGAGGATAGGCACCATGAGAATTTGTTCTCTACATTACATTCCAGCCTCATCACAGTGTTGTTGGTACATAATAGGTATCTAACAACTATGTATTAGTTGAGAGAGGCAGAAGGATAAAGTGGAGCATTTCCAGAGTAAATGTCCTAGAGACAAAACAGTTACAACATATGTTGTTGCCCAGTATGTGGATTGCTATAGTGGAACCCAGATCAAGATTTTGGAGAAATTGAAGTAATACTTCTAGAACAGTTCACTCCAATTGGGTTGAAGAGGAAAGAGTGATGTTTTAAAACAGGTATCAAATGGGAGAAGCTGAAGTAAAGCAGAAAGGATAGATCTCAAAAAATGAGGTTAGTAAAAAATGAGTTTCGAAAACAGTAATATGTATACCCTTTTCTTCCTTGGTGGGTGAGTTAGAAGTTCACTGAGGGCTGTGAGCCAAAGGGGAGTGGAAGGGAACTATGTTTAAATGAAGTTCAGAAGGTTTCAGGTTTATATAAATAAGGGGAAGAAAGTATAGAATTATATGTTCATAGTAAAATAGGTATCCTAGGACACAATGCAACAGGACCGATAAAGAGGAAGACAGAGACGATGAAACTAGTTGACATGGGCTATTGAGCACGGTGTATGTGCTTAATAAGTATTAGTTAGTAGACTTGTTTAGGGAAAATTCACTTATTTCTAGAGAAACAGTACTAAAAAACCCAAAATTAAGTAACAGTGATACCAAGCAAAAGCTTTTTGTAATATGTAACTCCGTATCTTAAAATGCAACTACATGCAAATATATTTACACTATTTACATGAAATGTTTTTGACTAAAAGTAGGTTCTTGTCATTTTTAATGTTCTCACACAGTGATAAAGATTCTTCACAATATCAGAGACAAACTTGGTTCAATATATAAAAATTCTTTGTTCTGAAAAATAGATCTTTGTTTGCTTAGTATTTTTAGAAATGATTAATCCTGCTTTAGATAGTTTTCATTTAAAACTATTTGCAAAAGTTATGATCATGAAATAACAGAGTTTATGTGCACCTCAAATACATTTTAAAAATTTGGTGGGTTTTTATTTTTTGTTTTTTGTTCTTAATCAGTATGGTGAAGTGTCTATGCAGCTCTGAATGCCTTGTTACAGTATTTCAATTCCATTTGTGACCAGTGTCATAGTGTGGGTTTGTAAGGTGACTGGAGTGTGGGATACTATCTTTAGCTATGAAAAAGAGTGGTCTTTGTCCTCTGGGCAAAACAAAGTGATTCCTGTGTCAGATGAGGGCCACTGACCTGATTCACACTATGTTTTACTACCAAGGGCTTCGGCACAGACCTGTTGTTTCTGTATTTATTCAAAACCAAGAATCAAAGTGCTCTCTGATATCCTTGTGAATTGGCATACAGTAAAACATGTCTCTTTCCATAAGTGTGTTTTTCTTCATCAATTCTTTGAAGGTTTTTTTGTTTTGTTTTGCTTTTTTTCTTTTTTAACGTGAGCATCGAATTATTTTACCTGGTATACTGAGATATGGCTCTCTGGCTACTAGGAAATAATTCATTTCCTGAATGTGAAATGCATTAGAGATTAAAAAAAAAAAAAAAGATGGAGAAGAAAATGTTACTATCATCATATAGCTAAATAGGTTAGGACTTCAGTGGTTATTGTTAATAGTCCTGACTCAAAGCATCTAGTAGACTAATTCTTGGTAATGTCAGCATAGTGCTGATGTGGGAGAGTACACTTATCTGCTGTCAGGTTTTGCATGTGTGAAGAGCTATTACCAAGAGGGAAAGAAAAGAGAAACTCTGCTTTTATCTGTACTTTTTCTCATCACTTAAATTCTTTTTGGGCCCTTGGTCCCCTACGGTAAATAATCTTTTCATTAAACAATGACATTCCATTTGTTGCATTTTAGTTTTCTTCAGTAAAAATTCTGTCCTTATTTCCCTAAAAAATAAATTAAAAAAAAAAATTCTCACCATGTATCTAGGACACTCCTGATTTGTCTTTTGAATGAGTCAAAGCTGAGAGAATTGTGTAAGAGCAAATGTTAGTGTTACGAGTCAGATAATGTGAAGACTGATCATCAGCCCCTCATGATCTAGGATACAGTCAGAGCATGAATTTGATTCAGTATTTCCCCTATCACCAAAGGTACGATCTGCCTTATCTTCTGTCTTTTAGTCTTGGTAGAAATTTATTAGCTTTTCTTGCCTAAATCAGAGTGTGGAGGAGGAAGAGATTTGAGTCTGAAAAGCATATAAATGCTTCCTCCACACTATCAAAAGTCAGATGTTAATTTTGCTTTGGATGAGACCGACAGCACCACTAATCTCGAGTTCTCTTCGCAGTGGGTAAACCTCACAAGTGCAACTACTGTGGACGAAGCTACAAGCAGCGCAGTTCACTGGAGGAGCACAAGGAACGCTGCCACAACTATCTCCAGAATGTCGGCATGGAGGCCGCGGGGCAGGTCATGAGTCACCATGGTGGGTAGAAATGGCATTCACCATTTTCATTCCCCTCTCACTGTTTTTGTAGTTCCTTAGGGGCTAGACAGTTCTCTCTACCCTTGAGGATGAAGATCGAATTCTACTCTTTTTGAAACAATTTCAGATCACATTAACTTTTGCCTGGGATTATCTTTTTTTTTTTTTTTAAGATTATTTATTTATTTATTTGACAGAGAGAGAGAGAGAGATCACAGGTAGGCAGAGAGGCAGGCAGAGAGAGAGGGGGGAAGCAGGCTCTCTGCTGAGCAGAGAGCCCGATGCAGGGCTTGATCCCAGGACCCTGAGATCATGACCTGAGCCGAAGGCAGAGGCTTAACCCACTGAGCCACCCAGGTGCCCCAATGGGATTATCTTCTTAAGCATATGAAATGAGTTGAGCTTTGCGAAGCTTGGCAAACAAGCTGTCCTGAGTTTTTGTGAAAATCCCAAATTATTTCTGATAACCTGCATTTGAATTAACATAATAATGACAGCGGACTTTGAATACACCAAAGGAAGATAGTATTTGCTCATTGGAGGCACCAAATAGTTAGAAAGGGTTCTAGGAAAGTCTGTACAGTTCCTAAAAGAGTTGGTTGTGTATTTTCATTTCTCTTAGGTAAGTGATCAGTGATATAATTGATGTAATTGGAAATATCTCTAATCTGTTTTGTGATTTATCTTGGAAATTACTCATTTTGCTTTCTACTAAGTGTAGGGAACAATCTAGACTAAAATCGGGCACCACTTCCCTCCACAAAAATCAAAACCCAAGCAAAACATCCTCATCGCCAGAATATACAATAGCAGGTGGAAAGGTAGTTTCTAAGGTTTACCAATTAATAACTCTTTGTTACTGAAAAATTAATGTTGGTAAATCAGATTTACAAAGTAAAGTTATGAATTTCAGTTCTTTAGATTTGAAGCATCTGTCCTGTCCTCTTAATTATATTTGGATACTGATTAATTTTATCATTCATATAAGTACATGCAAAAATCTTAATTTACTGTTGCATTTATATCTCTTATTTTAAAAAGATTTAGCCAGTATCAAATAATATAATTGGAGAACGCTATAGTCATTTTCAAAATATAAATGTCTATTTAGCAATTTACAGACAGCTCAAGGATTATTCGTGGGTTTTGTTTTATGTAGTACATGCTGTGAAACTGTTTATTGGGCAGCCAGTAATTATTTGTTTTTGAGTTGGGAATTTAAAATATTTATTTTGTTACCCTGAATAATTGAAGCATTTCTTCTTAAGGATAGTTTATATAATCTAAAGAACTATTTTAATTCTACTTTTTGTTGTGAATGAGTCCTTTGTTTTTATATTATTAACATTTTTGAAAGCCTGTCTGTGTTTTATGTCTTAGTAAATTTGACATTGCAAGTTGCATTACCTTGCTAATGAGGTTAGCATTGGATCCAGAGCAGGGAATTTAAAATGGTGGGTCTAGGAGTCCAACAAACCTGGCCTGGCTGTGTGGCATCTGTGTCACAGACTTGGTGTAAGAACTAAATGTGATTGGATATACAATAAATACCCAATAAATGGTTCTTTTCACTCTTACATTTCAAGGCATCAAATATGAAGGAATGTTAAATGTTCCATGCCCAATAAGGTTGTTACTTACCAGCAGCATTAACTTAGGCATTTGAGGTTCCATTTGCCGTTTCTGTTTAAATTGTCGTTTTTAGAGGTGGCTTGAGGCAGGGTAACTGATAGAAGCTTGAGGGCATGCCAAAATTTTCTAAAGACACCTTGTGGTCCTACTACTATTTTTTTGATATAATGTTCTATCCTTGTCGTTTTGACATTTGATTGGATTATTAATTCTTTCTTTTTTTAAGATTTTTTTTTTATTTATTTATTTGTCAGAGAGAGAGAGGGAGAGAGAGCAAGCACAGGCAGACAGAATGGCAGGCAGAGGCAGAGGAAGAAGCAGGCTCCCTGATGAGCAAGGAGCCCGATGTGGGACTCGATCCCAGGACGCTGGGATCATGACCTGAGCCGAAGGCAGTTGCTTAACCAACTGAGCCACCCAGGCGTCCCTGGATTATTAATTCTATTAATTCCTTTTCCATTGAGTTTTTTATGAAACTCAGTGAAAAGTGTGTTGCACGCACATCTGAATAAGAAATAGAGTCTCTTCTAAAAGACTGTATGTTATTATAGAGAGGTAAAATGTACATAAATAGTCAACATTTAACAATGTGTTGGCAAATTAACCAGTTATAGAATAAGTGCTGACGAAAAATTAAGCAGGTCCATTTGGGGCCAGGGAGACTTGTAACCAGCCATAGCATCAACACTCATCTCCCAGATTGCTTAGCTCGTAATAATTAAAAGTCCTTTATAGGTTGCTCTAAAACTGGAACAAAATGGGGCAAGTGGGAAAGACACTCAGGTACTGGGTAGAGCAGGGGACAAAGCCAAAGATAAGTGTATGGGAAGGGAGGGAGGAGAAGATAGGTTTTGGTATCATTTATAGACCCAAATATTTGTTATTCAATATTGGATATAGTTTTAACCACATAAGTTTATATTAATATCATTTCATGCTGTACTTCTGTGGCCATGTGGTAATAATAATTTGAGATTATCCTTAATCTTTTTCTTCTGTTAACATTCTTAATGCAGGATTGGATGTATGGGGTAGGAATTGATAAATGCCATAAAAGGAAAAAAATATGGGCAAAATGCTCCTCGAGTTTATCATTAACCTTGTCTCAGATACATAGCTTGGCATGTGTCTCATTTTAAAGACAGTTACAGTGAAATTTGTATTTATCCCCTTTCCTCTCTTACTATCGTGCTATATCTTGTCTATTTTTTTATCTTTTCTTTTAGTGGTAGAGGTGGGGGTTGCCATCATTGTTGTTGCCATTAGCTCCTTGAAATTAATTATTATTCTTTATCGTTTCATTTATATCTGACATAGTTAGGTCTCTTAGCCTCTCTTTCCTAAAACATGTTCTTCCCCATGTTGACTCTTTTAAGGAAGGGGATGTCTGAGTTCAAAGAGATGTTCTTTCACAGCATTCAGGAAACATTTATTGAAGGCTTGCTGTGTGTCCATTTCTACAAAACATTTTGGGGGTATAAAGATAAATGGACATAATTTCTTTCTTACATTTATAGTATGGTAGGAAATATGTACTTTAAAGGAAGATGAATAAAATAAAGACGTGTACACACTTCTAGAGGAGCACAAATGCAGAGTTGACCTAACTCTGTCTGGAGAAATCAAGGAAAGCTTCTTACATGCAGTGCTTGATTCACACATGAGGTTGAGAAAAAAATCATACAAATTAGATTCACAGAGAATGTATGTTCCAGGCAGAGCAGTTGCCACAGGTTAACACTTGGAGGTATAAAAGAACATTAGCAGGTTCCTGAGCATCGAACATAGTTGGAGTTAAAGAAGTGGTAGGAAATGACACTGACATAATTGGTTGTAATGCAAAAATGGACTCTTTTATGTTACTCCAATGTTTGAATTCCACTGAGGTAATCCGATTTGTGTCTTATAAGGAAAAATGTCACCAATGTAGAATATAGGAGAGGTGCCTGACTGACGTATGGGCAGAGAGACTGGAAGTGAGAATGCTAAGGAAAAGAAGAGAAGGCAGTAGCAGGAGAGGAGAACAGGGTGAAATTCTTAAGACATGTTTTAGGAGGTAGATTTAAAAGTTTTGAGTTTAAGAGAAAAGGAGAAAATTCATGTCTTGTAGTTTTGGAAATAAAGATAATAATAATGAATTTTATGACAGATTATCTTATTTGAAAATTATCTTTATGCTCATTTTTGAAGTCTGTTTAGCTTGAAGAAAAAAACTTTAAACGCCAAAGTATATAATTAGTTTTTTCCCCCTTGCCAGAAGAGAAAAATGAAAACATGAACCAAAAGATAGCTAGCTTTAAAGCAAGAATATATATTCTTAAGTTTATGCTTGTAATTATTTGAGAAAGGGAAGCTCTTTATTGCAGTTTAGGGAACATTTTTAAGAACCTGTAAACTTCTTCAACTTGTTTTCATTGGGTAACATTATTTCCTTCATGAAGTCTTTCAGTAAAAATATATTGAATGTTATATTTGTTTCACATCATAAAAAGTACTAGAGACACAAATAAAATACAATCCCTACCGTAAGGTACTTACCAACCACTGGAAGAAATAAACCAGTAAACCAACAGAACACTGTCTGACAAGCTTTATAGGGGCATATAGGATAGATGTCCAAATCAGACTCTGGGTGGCCAAGAGGAATTCCTGGGGAAAGGTATGTTTGAGTGGAGTTTTGACAGGCAAGAAGGCAGCTAAATAAATGGAAGAGTCCTTTATGCAGAGAGAACAGCATGTGTGAAGAAAAAGAAGCCTAAAGAGCATGGTGAGTTAAGGACCTACAAGTAACCGGTAGAATTAGAGCACAGGTTGTAAGGGCAAAAGAATTTAGAAGGTGATAAGATCAGAGAAATAGTCTGAGAACAGAATATCAAAGGCCAGTTGTGCCAAGCAAAGAATTTTGTACTTTACCCTAAAAAATAATTGTGGATTAACATTTAATTGCTAGAAATATAGGACATCAATCAGAAGAGTCAAGACAAAGGCAAGTAGATCATTGCAACATTCTCCTGATTGGTCAATAGTCTAGAATATACAGTTAAAAATTGAGAACTGAAGATGTAGAACCTAAAATACATAGTACCTCCATGTGTGTCCATGAAGAGGAAGTGGTAGAGAGAAGGGAAAGGAGACTGGGTGAAAGGAAGAAACCTAGCATTTGCCTCAGATGTTTAGCATGGATGACCAGGTAGATAATGGTGCCATTCAAGAAGGTGGTGATAAGGAAAATAGGAGAACATTTAGGATGGGAAACAGAGATTTCAGATTTTGAACACATTATCTATTAGGGACCTGTGAAAGACTGAACTGCCAAGTGAAACTGTCTGAGAGGAAGTTGAATATATAGATCTCAAGTTTTCAAGAGAGGTCTGGGTAGGAAATATATATTTGGGAGCCATCGTTATATAGGCGGTAGCCTGAAGTAATACGTTTTCTAAAGTCATGTGGGTAACTACAGAGTGAGACATCTAGAATACCAACAACATTCCAACATGCCAGAAAGAAAAAAAAGACAAAAAAAAAGGGGGTGGGGAGAAAAGAAGAAAGAGCCATGAAGATGAGTAAGAGCAGAGAATGAGAGAATGGGAAGCGATTTCAGAAGCCAAAGCAAGCAAGTATTTGCACCATCGGATGTTGTCAAGAAAATAAGAGAACTGAATTTGTTTTATATATAATTTGGCAGCATGGAGAAAATGTATGACAGTGTAGAAGACTTCCATTATTTTTGCCTGCCCTACATACCTTCCTTCTTCTTTTGATAACAAAGTTTCCATTTTCCTTTAGAGGACTGTCTCCCATTGCATGAAGCCATGTCAGAACGGTCTGCCTAGGTTCTCTGCCCTCTCTTATCCAGAGTGTGGACATGTGACCTATAATCCAGGTCCCTCAGCTTCTCTCTTCTTGGATTTTGAATTTTCAGGGGACTGTGGTACAAATAGCTATGTTGGGAACACTCTTAGATGCTTCTGTCTTTAAGATTTTTCAATGTGACGAGATAATGAAATAGTACAAATATGAAATTATTTGTATCTTGGTTATAACATCAAAAGTAAGGTCAAGGAGGATATCTGGTTACCAAGTTTGCTCTAACAAGTAAGATTAGTTTATTAGTGTTTTCTTAGCCCAGATAAATCTCTATATGTGATTGTTGCCTTATTGAGTTAACTTAAGAACTTGTTTTGGGTTTCAAGCCCAAACACTGTACCCAGATCCTTGAAAGAAAGAAAAAATTCAGATTAGTTACGTAATTGAGAAAATGTACCAGATCTTTTCCCAATGGCAGACCTTAAAAATATATCAAACTTGTTTATGAAAAGTCAGCACTCAAATTATGTCTACAAAAGAATAGTGTAACATAATGACTAAGGGCCCACACTCTAGAGCCCAGCCACCTAAGGTAAACTCATATAGTTCTTACTAACAAGATGTAAACCCCAAGGAATCTCTGAGGTTTTGTTGCCCCATCAGTAAAATGGAGATGGTACTTATCTCGAGGGGATTATTGAAAAGATTAAATAAATTATTAAATCCAGTCTTAGAACAGTACTTAGCACATAGTATGTATCAGTTATTATTATTATTGTTGCTGATATGGTAGAAACAGGATCAATATTTGATATGTGAAAGGCTGATGTAAAATAAAAGTAAGAATAGAGCTCTGACAAAGTCATTGTTTTCAGTTCGCATGAGCTTCATTGAACTTGGGACAAATCATCTGAATTGAGGTGGATGTGGTGTGGGATAGTTCGCACACCCAGGTTTCGTTTTGAGTGTTAAATATGTGCAAATATGAAAATTCAAGGTTAGACTTAGAGCAAAACTGCCAAGTTTTAGACTACTCATTTCAAAACTAATTAATATATTCAATTTGGGGGCAAACCCCGCTAACCAGTTTTGCTGTTTTTCTAGCAAAATTTACAACAACAAACCTTTTTTTCTTTCCTTCTTTCATTTTGGATCCTAGTTTGTGACATATTTTCATCTTCAGTCTGTATATGGCCTGTTTTTTAGCTTTATAGTTATGTTTAATAATGTAGTAAGTGCCTATAAATTCACCACACGAAACAAAAGTTAAGATTCTGATAATCTGTATCTAATTAATGGTTCCTAACCATATCCATTCTCCACTGCCATTCCATCCTCCTGACCACCCTTGTTTGAATTTTTTGGTCAGCCTTTCTTTACTTTTCTTTTTAAGTTCTTGTTTTTATTTTTAGTTGTTGCTGAAAGAGGACATAATGTTTTATGTACTATCTTGGAATATATAATTTTCCACTTGATAATATCATGGATTATGTCAGTACAGAAAATGACCTGAGTGTTTCCTTACTTCTAATTTAAATCCAGTAATTGCGGCATCCCTTGTCAATTGTAGCCATATCTTACAGACATTGAAGAGTAAATTTTTCTTTCCTATCCACTGGACTATACTAGGTTAACCCAAAACTTAGATTGAGTATCAATTTCTTTAAACATGTCCAAATTAGGAAAACATTTTTCTGTTGCCATTTTTCATTTCTTCAAAATCAGCAACCTGTATTGGTTATTAAGTAGGTCACCTGAATTGTGCACTGGATTTTCTTAACTTTCATCTCCTGCTTTCTCATTTTATTTTAGTGTCCATCCTTATAAATGAGAATGTATTGTTTTTCACGTAGTAGAACTATCCTTTACAAATGAAAGGAATAGAATAAATCATTTTGCAGTATATGCGGAGCAAGTAAAAGTAGTCTAAGGTATGAAACCTTTAGGCTCCCAAACAGTACTGGTACAGGTACAATTTAGAGAAAGCAACCATAATCAAGAATAAGTTATGGTCTTTCCTGTGAACATTGGCTTCTGTCATTGATCTCATCTGTATCTGTACCCTTAAACATAAGTTCTGTGTCTGTACTATAAATGTCCATCTCTAATGTCAGTATCTCTGAGCTCATCTGTTAGCCCACAGCAACTTAGACAAATGGGATGAAGAGGGAGCAGCTCTGGACAGTTTATGCCAAGTGAATTAGAGCAGTTGTTTAGTGAGCAAATATGCCAGTTTGGAAATGGAATTTTCTTATCCTGCTGAAGAGCTCTGTTTAAAATAAATTACAGCCATAAAGTGGCCACTTGTGTAGACATGCTCAGAATTGGAACTCCTTCATGGAGGCTCCTTTGTGCAGGTATTTATCTGCTGCTGATAGGGCTAAAAGCTCACTCAGCTCATCAATAGGAAATCTGCTACAGGAAAATACATGGGAGGGGAAAAAAAAAAAAACTGGTTAAATATTGTGCTGTTACTCCGTGTGTCTGTTTAAGCTTTCCTGCAAAATAAAGTTGACTTACTTAAATTGTTTTAGAAAAATAAACTCCAGAAGCCTTGAAAATAGTGCAGTCTTAAAGTGGTATTGATTTTAATCAATGATGAAAACACCTTCAGAGGAGTAAGATGAGAAACAAGATGAACATGTTTGCCACCAATAGTGGCCAACAGTTTATGTCATTGATCTGAGAGTGACTCAGATAAAAACAAATCCTGTGTGTGTGTGTGTGTGTGTGTGTGTGTGTGTGTGTGAAATTAGAGCGTGTACTTTAACACTAAAGATCGTTCTTTCTCCTTTCATTCAAGCACACTAGCTTATGTTTAACACATATTGAGTGGCATATCCAGCTTTGTAGCTCTTATAATGTTGAAGAAATTATCAGATTGCATCTTTTGTATGGTTTTACATAGTACCTCCTATGGAAGATTGTAAGGAACAAGAGCCTATCATGGACAACAATATTTCTCTGGTGCCTTTTGAGAGACCTGCTGTCATAGAGAAGCTCACAGGGAATATGGGAAAACGTAAAAGCTCCACTCCACAAAAGTTTGTGGGTAAGCATTACAAATGATTTTACTTCTTAAAAGGTGGTTTTAATGGGCAGAAGTAGGTTCCCATGTATTAGAAACATAGATGGTATATTTCAGCTCAAGAGATAAATAGACATTTCTTTTGCCCATTATTCATTTCTACTTTATACTGTTCTGTAGGTACTACACTTACACACACACACACACACACACACAAACACACACACACCCTTAGATATATGGACCTAGGAAATAAAAGACTGATAGAAGTTGATATCTCAAAATGAAATTATATAGAAAGTATAGTAGTATATAAAATGAAATGTTCATTCATTTACAAAATAAAAATACTTAAGGAAAATGATGTTGCCTAGAAGGCAGTTTTGTCATCTCTTTTCCAGTTTGCATTAGTGCCAGGTCTTTAAACTCTTTTCTTTACATGATATTAGTGCTTTCTCTGTTTGATCTGGAATTAAGAGAAATCTTTTCCCCCCAAAACTCTGCATTAGAAAAACAATGCTGCAGCCTACATTCAAGAGCTTTCATATTTGGATCTTTGTTTTCATCCAGCCTATGGTTTTGAAACAAAAAAGATTAAATATGATATACTTAGACTTTTCTTTTTCACTTCCAAGTCCTTATTTTTAATAACACTCAGAGTTGGCATCATTCTGTATGCTCTAAGTCATAAAGTGTCTCTAAGGATGCAAAAAGCATCCAAGCTTTTTAAGAATGTCTAAAAATAGTGATTCTATATAAAGAATTGCCATTAATTATATATGTAATATATCTATTCTTACAGACTTTATATAGGGTAAAAATTAGAAGGGAAAGATTTTCAAATAGATTCTCACGTTCTAGTGTCAAAGAGTACTGCGGAACATCCTGCTGTGGGTTGAGTGGTGAATGGGAGACAGTATTCTCTCGTTATTTCAGGGAGGGAAGGCTAATAAAATTCTTTTACTCCAATAATCACTTAGAGATTTCCTTCCAATCTAAAACTGAAGAACTGACAAATCACCAAAATATCATTTTAAGACAAGCCGGAGAGATTTACTGACAGAGCTCATTGAAAAAAAAAAAAATGCTAGAGACCAGCCCTAGGAATCACAGTTGGTCCTAGGTCAATTTAAAGCTCCAGCAGGAATACTCAAACGCCTGCCTTGGGCCCCAAGTTACTTTTCGTTCTGTCTTTCTCCCTTCCTTTTTATAAATAACTATTTTTTTAATTGCCATTTCATCACTTTTATAAACTGATCAATTTGATGGATGTCCATTAAAATGCCTATATCCCAACTAGAAACTAGTATCGTTGGGAAAATATGCCTTTACATCTTCTGAATCTATTTAGTTCTGCTCTTTGAAATATTTCTGTTTCCTATGACTTAGAGATACTAGTCCCAATTTGATTTGATCACATTCCTTAGAAAAGAGGGACAGATTCTTTTTAAATTACATTTTGATTTTTTAAAAAAATTTCTAAAAAAAGAAGTAATAAAATAACATTAGATTTTTTATTAGGAATTTAGTGGTATTTTTAATTTGGATTATCCTTTCTAACAAAATACAAAAACAATCACATGCTGTCTCTGTAATTTTTTTAATAAATTCCTTTTTACCATGTTCCTCAGTTAAATACTACCTTTTGACCTTACCAAGCCTTCCAGACCAACAATCCCTATACTTTCTGCATATCTTTTTGCATCCTCCTTTCTTTGTCGTATCCAGCTTAGATCCGTGGTTAATCACTTTTACCACTCTCTTGACAATATTCTTGACTCTCTTATTTTGTTGCCTTTCTATCACCTTCTCTTGGTGAAACTCCACTCTCCAGTGAGAAGAGGAGCATCTTTCCCATATCTATAAGCTGCTAGTACTTGTGGAGAAAATCCCACAGCCTTACAAATTGGTGTCACTATAAATCAATGAATAAGTATCAGTTGTTCCATCCATGTGTAGCAGCCCTCCTTCAATCCATCCTACAACAGTCCTCGCTCCTGCTCAACCCTGGGGCCATTTCAGCATTTCTTTCTTCTCCACAAACATTGTATCTTACTCCTTGATGGTATTATATCTCAGCTTACAGGGAGTAAATCAGTCAAAATAGTTTCAGTATAATATCACTGATCTTATAAAGATTATGTGTATTTATATGAATACTTTTTGTCTTCTTCGTTTCAATAAAAGAAGTATCCCTCTTTCTAATTAAGGTTCATTCCTCTTCTTGTGCTCTGGAATTCTATCCCAGCCCCCCAAATATCTTACATTATTATTCCTTTTTCTCACTTGTATTTTCAACCTCTTCCCTCTCTTGGCATTTTCCTTTTTGTATTTAATACAGTAAATTCTCATCATTAAAAAAAAAAGAAAAAAAAAAAACTTCCCTAAAACCCAAGTCTCCTTCTAGCTACTACCTACTTTTTCCTTCTCTTCAAAAATGGGAGTTGTTGAAAGAGTTCTCTCTCTATGCTTGCTTTCCATAATTTCTTTCTTTCTACTCATTCCCCAATATATGCAACCTGGCTTTCTTTGTCATTAAGGTCACCAGTAGCCTATATAGTGCCAAGTGCAGTGGACCCTTTTTAGACTATCTTACACAACTCCTAGAGAGCATTTGCCACTCCTGAATAATTAATTCCTTTTGAAACACTTTTTTCCTTGGTCTCTGTGACATTGATCTTGCATTTCTTCAGCTTCTTTGCTTCTTCTCAGTCTTCATTATGAATTTGCCTTAAACAGCTATGCAAATGGAGCAAATAGACTAATGGAGGCCTCCATTCTTGTGCCTCAATATTTTAATATTTTAAATCAAGCTGAAAAACTATTGTGTCCTACCCTTCCTAACTTGGAAGATTGAGTTCAAATAAATATAGAATCCTTCAATTCCTTAGAGTTCCACACCAGACCTTGACAGCCTGAGCAGAACCATCCCCTAACCTGCAGCCAGGCCCCTCTCTTAGACCTACTTCTGGTTATGTCCAGTACCGAAAGGAGGGCCTCTTGCACATGTATGTAGACTTCTCAGCCTGTGCATTCTAGTTCTTCTCACATTGGACCCCACACACAGCACATGAAGAGTAGTGTGTTGGCCACTACTTAGACCTAAGTGTACGAATACCAGCAGCACAAATTGGTGCTCTGGAGGAGAGACCCTGTGACAAGGACTGTGCTTACCCTTCGTGCAAGCTCAGTGCCATTTGCGCAAGGAATTCTGGGGCCATGGCTATGTACGTCCTCTCCAGATAGGCACATTCCCTTGACTGTATACATTCCTCATTCCATGAGGAGCAAAAAAACTCTGTAAACATGGGGCCCAGTGCAAGAATCCAACTTGCCTTGGTCTGGGGAGGCATTAGAAGTCTTGGTGTTCTTCCAGGTTCTATTTTTTGACCTTCTTTTCTTCACACTTTACCTATGCCTGGGTTGTATCTTCTCTTCTTATGGCTTCAGAAGTCACTTTCTATCAGCTGATGACTTAACTATCCACATCTCAAGCAGAGGTCTGTCTCCGAAATTTGAGACTATATTTTAGTAGTTACTGCACCATGACTGTTAATCTTTCACAGTGTGAACTCATCATCTTTTCTATCTCATTGCCATCCACTAAGTTTCCTAGGCCAGAAACTTGGGCTCCGTGTTTAACTTCTTTCTCTTTTGCATATTCTAGGTCTAGATAATCACCAAGCCCTAGAAACTATATTTTCTAAATGTTTCTCCATTCCATCCAATTTTCTCCATTTCCACTGCCAGTGTACTAATTCAGGCCACCATGATCTTTACGGCAATAACTTCCTAAACCATCTCAACAAATAAATGCCTAACCACGTCACTTCCTCGTTTAACTCTTTTAATCCTTATTGCCCTTGGGTAAAATTCAAATTCCTTAGCTGTTGAATAAGCCCCTTTATTATCTTTTCCATCTTCCTCATCTATTTCCACTCTCAGCTGTATGGTGAGATATAAGTAATCCCTTGACAAGTCATGCCCTCTTGCTTCTGAGCCTTCCCACCAGCAGCTCCACCCCTACATTCCTTTAGTTGGCTAGTATTTGTCATCACATTCTTATCTCTAATGCCACTTTCTTCAAGAAGTCTTCTTTTACTCCCCTAGTTGTGTATTCCTTTTATTTGACCTCATAACATATATCACACTGTATTAATAATGAGCCCTAAATTGCTGTCACTCCCTCTAAACTGAGCTTAGAGAATTTAGGTTAGATTTGTCTGGCTCACCTTTTAAACTCTTAACATTGTGATATCTTAAATTGAATGCCATGAGATAAGGTCTCATCATTTTTTTGCTTCCGTATTCATTACTCTGATCATTTCCCTTATCGTACTTTGGGGACCACTCTTCAAACCTGAAATTAATGCTAGCTATCTGAAAGTGTTTTTCCAGAATACTCTTCTGTGGACATTTTTTTAATCAACATTACAAATTAGGCCTCCATCTATAACATACTAAACATTTATAAGAAGTCCACATATATTTTTAAGAAGTCTTTATCTGTGAGCTTTACCTATCAACACAACAAGCAGTTAGTAGGAGACCACATTTAGTGACAGAATTTTAAAAAGATAAAATATGCTGTCCAAAGCTGGCAGTATTTAAAAGAGAAAAATTAAAATTACTTCTGCTTTATGCACAGAACTCTTCTTGGTTAATCTTGAAGTAAAGTATAAATTAGTCAAAGTAACTATTAAAGGGAAAACTACAAAAATCCTTCAGTCAAGATAAGTATTGAAAATTAACAATGGGTGTACATACCAGCACCATTGCCCATATATCTGAATAAGGAAGGGGTGGTGTAAAATGATGAATTCTCCATTTCAAGAAGCAAAACAACAAAACATAGTATTTTCCAAGTTTATAAATAATCTATTTTTGGAAATAACTCCTATATGTATACAATCCTAAATTTCATTTAATTTATCAAACAATACAACTTTTTTTGAGAGAGAGAGAGCAAGTGCAAACCAAGCAGATGGGAGGGAGCAGAGGGACAGGGAAAGAGACAGGGAATCTTAAGTAGGCTCCATGCCCAGCACAGAGCCCCACCTAGGGCTCCATCTCATCACCCTGAGATCATGACTTGAGCCAAAAAGTCAGACACTTAACCAGCTGAGCCACCCAGGCACCCCTAAACAACACATGTTTTAACAGTATTTTAATGGTGATGGTTTTTTTAATTCTCCAGGGTGACATATACTGACTCTATGATTTTTTTTTTTCTAACATAGCCATCAAATCAACCAAATTAACCCGATATAACAGTGAGGTGACAGATGTTATAAGCAGATCACTCTCACTTTTGTGATCTTTGTGGCTTGGTCACTGATGTCTAAAATATGCAAAACAGGCATAGTCTCTGACTTATTTTCACCTGGTATTTCTTTTTCCACCTATAGCCACTGAGCTGTAGACAAGTGGAAATTTTAATTGAGAATGAAAATAAGATAACACAGTCAATCAGACCTTTCAGGCTAGATGCATTTTCATGATGGCATTAAAACAAGTGCAAATGGCTTGTGAAATTCTTATTACTAATCCTCTTTGCAGGTTGAGAGTATTTGTGAGTCTCAGCAGAATTAAAGAGCCCAAATGCTTGATCTAAAGAATAAGATTATCATATTACAGAACATGGAGACGATTAACTTTATACACTTTTATGTTTTAATCCAATCACTAATTTTGTTGTATTTTGTTTGTTTTTTACTTTTCTCGCCCTCCTCCTTTCAGGGGAAAAGCTCATGCGATTCAGCTACCCAGACATTCACTTTGATATGAACTTAACATATGAGAAGGAGGCTGAGCTAATGCAGTCTCATATGATGGACCAAGCCATCAACAATGCAATCACCTACCTTGGAGCTGAGGCCCTTCACCCACTGATGCAGCACCCGCCGAGCACAATCGCTGAGGTGGCCCCAGTTATAAGCTCAGCTTATTCTCAGGTCTATCATCCAAATAGGATCGAAAGACCCATTAGCAGGGAAACCTCCGATAGTCATGAAAACAACATGGATGGTCCTCTCTCCCTCATCAGACCAAAGAGTCGACCCCAGGAAAGAGAGGCCTCCCCCAGCAACAGCTGCCTGGATTCTACGGACTCAGAAAGCAGCCACGATGACCACCAGTCCTACCAAGGAAACCCTGCCTTAAATCCCAAGAGGAAACAAAGCCCAGCTTACATGAAGGAAGATGTCAAGGCTTTAGATACCAAGGCTCCTAAGGGCTCTCTGAAGGACATCTACAAGGTCTTCAATGGGGAAGGAGAACAGATTAGGGCCTTCAAATGTGAGCACTGCCGAGTCCTTTTCCTAGACCATGTCATGTACACCATTCACATGGGTTGCCATGGCTACCGGGACCCACTGGAATGCAACATCTGTGGCTACAGAAGCCAGGACCGTTACGAGTTTTCATCACACATCGTTCGAGGGGAGCACACATTCCACTAGGCCTTTTCATTCCAAAGGGGACCCCTATGAAGTAACAAACTGCACATGAAGAAATACTGCACTTACAATCCCACCTTCCCTCAGATGTTGACATATCTTTTTTTTTTTTAAATATTATTACTGTCATTAATTCTTACTTTGTGGACGCAGTGTCGTTTGCTCTGCCTAATTACAATAAGGAAGAAACAGAGGAGAGAAGGGACAAGGGATATTGTTTCTTGATAACTTGGCTTGTTTATTTTGTGGGAATTTAAGAGCAGTTCCATTTCTGCCATGCATAAATGTAAGGTATATCATGCTTTGAGAAAAAAATCACTTGATTCATATAGATTCACCTGAGAGATTCTAAGTTGCCACTGATGTTGAGGATTATGATTGAAGGCAGGAAAGTTTAGAGTTTCTGGGTAGAACTTTTGCAGTTTAAAGTGGTATAAGTAATTTTACTCTTCAAGGAAGAATTTTGTTTCAAAATGTAAACTTTTTTTTTCCCCCTCTATAGATCATGGAACACAAACACATTGTTACTTTCAGTGATAACTCCTTGGATGAGTTGTTGTGGGTTCTATGTTTACTTCCCCAATGGAATTTATAATACGATATGTTATACACTGTACCATATAGGAAAACTTTTGAACTACAGGTAGTTAAGGACACCTACAATACATCTGAGGTCCTATGATCTTATTTTTCTAAACTTAAGCACTGTTTTCCATAGTTTTGATGACTGGCATTTTATAGACACCCTGGCAGCCTTACTTTTAACACCTTTAATGAATAGAATTTTTATCTAGTTTTAAGAATAACATATGGTCTAAGAGTGGCTAAGAGGCAGTCAGTAGTTTCCAGAAAGGACCTCTACTTTTCATAAATTTGTTTGGGAAGTTTTCTTTTAAAGTTGTAATGTGATGGCAGCATAGTATGCGTGTTTGTTTCTAAAAGTATGCTTACGATCGTCACTTTATCAGCATTTAAGCAGTGTTAACCAGTCAGCAGAAAAATATAATTAGGCTAACAGTAGGGGGAAAAAAACCCACTCAGAAATCCCTTTTCTGGTATGTCTCTTTTCACTGGTTTTTTCAAGCTGTGACCACCCAGTGTTCTATCCATAGTCCATCATCTTTTACTATTTGAGTAGAAGATCATAAAAATCTTGCTATAGATTTTTGCTTTCCAAATCTTGGAGCAATTACTAATTCTACCTGAATGTGGTAACTTGAACCCCATAAGGTCGTGGAACTAGGGCTATTTATTCTAGTATTTCTTCAATAATAATATTTACCACTTTTGGTGCAAGGAAAAGGGAACTTCTTTGTAACCTGTACATTAGACTATAGATAAACAAAAAACAAAACTTATTTTTACCCTTCTTGGAGTCTAGAAGGTAATCTAACCTCCAAGTGAAAGTCACCATGTCCTGCACATTCTTCTGTCTTGAAAACATTCAACTATGTATAAGTCCTTGTCTGAAAGGAATCTCAATCCCTTAGTAAAAATTTTCTCTTCTTTTAATCCATACATACGTTGCCATTTTTCATGTGCAAATTTTTTATTTCATTTATAAGGGTGCTGTTTTTTCTCTGCAGTCCAACAGCATTAGAGGGGAGAAACCAAATGCGATTGAGTCATTTGGATCAAGTCACACTTGGATGCAGAACTTGCTGCTTGTGTTGAGGGAGGACAGGCCTGTCCATGACTGGATTATCTGTTAGCCATTTATGAATACTGATTCTGTTAAGCAGTAACTAATAACTGCTCTAACAACAACAACAAAAAATCATTAAATAGGATGCTGAAACTGTGTAATACAGATGATGTGAGAACTAGCAAGATTAGAGACCTATGGACAGAGAAGCAAATCTGACCCCAATACTGACTGTTCTTTTCTCATTTGCTCATTTATCATCTGCTGATTTAAGCGACTTCTAATCACTAACACAGCTAGAGCTAGGCAAAAATGATTATAACTCAGCTCTCCTTTACTGGCCCCTCTTGTAATTATTTTTGGAGAAATATCCAAACTGTTCCTTTAAATCAAAGAGAATGTACCAAAACAGAGACATGAAATGTTTTAAATAGAATGTCACCTTTTTTTTTCCCCCTGCATGCTTTGGTACATTGTGAACATACAGTATATCCAAAGGTAAAGCATGTTTTTGAGACTCCCTTACTGCCCCTACCCTAACCACTCAAAAAGATTAGAATTTCATATATTTTTTTTTCCTTTTTGGAGGAAGCTAAATAATTTAAGGTTCCTGATTCTGTGTTTTACTGCAATTTAAGGAAGCATTTGGATGGCACATAATATGTTCATCACTTTGGCTATGTGTGGATTTCTGCTGGCATCATCTAGGAATTTTCTTCCTGTTCACTGTTTGTTCTTTTCAGTGTATGAACTATCATGTACCTTACTGCCCTGGGATGAAGCTGAATTTTAGGTGGACCTAAAGAGTTGTCTAATGCCCCATGAAGACCGTACTAATGTACTCTCCTTTTCTCATTTCACTTTTTTGGAAATCTCTTTTATTGAAGGGACTTACTATTTGTGAGAGTGTATTTGCTACAAGTGGACATTTATACTTTCTTAACTTCACAATATGAGGAACAGAAAGAGGTAAAGATGGCTCAGGGTGTGGCAGGGACAAATGAGGACGAGGTCAATTCAAATGTGCAGGTTAGAAAGAATTTTTGTGGGCACAGTGCTTTCTGGGAAACTCTGAATGGCTATATTTGCATGCCTCCTTCTTCACAAAAGGAAATATGCAAGTTGTTAGGGCCTAAAAATAAATATGAGAGTCAGACACCAAATAAATCAAGTTTTACATAACAGTTATATGCCCAGTTTATTTAGGTGAGATTTCACATTACAGAATATTTGAGGGGCATGAAAATGGGTTAGCCTCTGTTTTCTAGTTTGGCAAAAATTCAGAAATTCATCACATTGCTTTGCCCTAATTTTGCCCAGAAATTTATCTCCAGCTCCTGTTGAAGATGTGTGCTGCCTCTCTCTAACAGTGGTCGATCACTTTTAAAAAGCCATCCTAATCTGGCTTTCTTTCTAGAACCGTGAAAATGACCAATAAGCAGATTGGAAGAGATTTCAAGTCGTTAAAACATTCCGTTGAGAATTTTCTGGTGGGACAAAATGGGAGAATGAGAGACTGGGATTTGGATTTGGCTACAAAGTAGGGTATGTCTTTCCCACATACATAAAACCAATTGTATATGTGCAACAGTGTATGTTTGTACATACATACACACTCTTTTAAAATGAAAAGTCATGAAAAGGAGCAATTAGTGACCACATGTGTTGCAAAAGCACATAAAGAGTTAAAATTATAATACCTGAGCAATTTATGAAATTTACCAGATTGTATTAATAAATATTAAAGAAGTTATTAGTGTGTCTTTAGGACTAGTTCAACTATTAAACTTAAACCTTGGGTCTTTACAGTCTATTTCCAGAAGAAGTCAAAACACACAAAAAGATCTTTAAGCTGATTTGGTGTAACTTCCAAAGTGAGAGAAACACAAATAACTTTGGAATAGGAAGATACAGAAAAGAAAAATGATTAATTTTATTTGTTAGCAAAGGAGAAAGACCAGAATATTTTAGTGAGCTTGATGTTTTTTTCCTTAACAGTTATTGTGTATCAGTTCTACACCTCACAAAACTATGAAGTCTTTATATGTTATAAAGGTTTTACAAAATACACGTTAGTGAAAGCATTTAGATGAAAATTACGTTTTACTTATTCTCCAAATGTTATTTCATCCTGTCTCCAAAATGATTCTGTAAAGTAGAAAAAAGAACAGAAAAAACTACAAAAATACAAACAAAAATCTGCATGCCCCTAGTGTCAAGACAGAACTTGGATCATAAGAGGTACTGGCTACATTATTATTTTTTTTTTACTTTGAAAAGTTCGTTTTACAAAAAGGGATGTGTTACATATGTGGTCATCTTTAGTTATATTTTATATATTATTTTAGTAAGTACTATCCATATGGGGTTGTCAAAAAAAAAAAAAAAAATTCCCCAAACGCAAAAGAAAAAAAGAGTAGGGGTGAAATTGAAGTTTGTATATATGAGAGTTATCTTAGAAATGTTTTTAAACCTCCAGTTTCTGCAAAATAATTAAAATATACAGTAACTGGTATCTTAAGATCCTGACTTTAATGTATTAAATACTTATAAAATTTCTTTATATTGGTGCCTTTTTAAAATGCATTGAGAGAGTGTTGGTTAGCTATTGTAGCGCTACAAACACTTTTATTATGTATTTTTAAAAACCACTTAAATTTGAGTACTATAGAATACATCTTCGTGTTCTTAGGGCAAAACTATTAGAGGAATTTCCAATACAGAGAATTTCAGCTCATCTGTTTAAAGTAAAAGGAAACTTTGAAACAAGATTTTAATCTTACTAGTTTGATAGTATTTCTGAATACCGTTCCAAGATCACATAGGTAAAATATGGCATAGAGGGAAATTTCAGCTGTGAATTGCGTTATGGTATGTGGTGTTTGTTTGTTTGTTTGTCTTTAAGGAAGAATAATTTCTAGTATCACACAAGGCTTTACTAGTGGAATTTTTGGTCAATAAGATACAGTATTGTTTTAGAATTTCATTTACAGACTAGTGTTGTACTAGTCTGAGAACCTGTCTCCTAATCTGTTAATGTTTTATGGAAAATGTAAAGAAGCAGGTAATTAATTCTCCTTGAACAAAACAAAACTGAACAGTCATATCACATTGCTATTCTCCAAAGCATAATCTCAAATGGTTTCCTACCATGATTGTGTATTACTTGCAATGGATGTGTTAGGATATGACAGCTTTTTAAAAAAAAACAAAAACAAGCTGCTTGTTATACAAAGCAAATGTCATATGACCAAGAAGCTGTGATATGCTAGTGTTTCTTTTTATCATAGTGTATTGCTAGGCCAAATAATAACACCTTGAATATTTTTACATTTATTGCAGAAACCTAAAATTTTGGGATTTCCATAAAGTTTTTATGTAACATTATATTTCTAGCTTCTTAGTTTTTTCTTGCTGTACTGTAAGTTTGTGGATATTTTTCACATGCACTCTTAGAAATAAGTTCCTAATTCTGTTTGTGGGGTTTTTCTCCCATAACATTGCATTTGTATATTTTCTGTATAAATTTGTTGTGAATTAACCTTTACCCCATACAGAGAGTGGTACGTGAATGACTAGTTTTCTAAGATGTCCTTTTTATTGTGAATAAAATATAAAATTTAGAGGCCCTCTGCTAAGCCACATAAAATATAGCATGTAATTTCATAAAGGTACAGATAAGCCAGTTTGCAGTTAACTGGGCCCTTCAAATTACCTCAAGTGACACACAGTAAGAAAAGCTTCTCAAACGGGTGGAGGTCACTAGATCCCCTACTATGCACTTATCAGGATTCTACTTAATTTACTGGAAATGGATTTTTAAAAAATGAATACACTGTAACAAGGGAAGGACTCTGGGTTTTGGTTTTTGTTGTTTTATTATTTTGTGTGCGTTTTTTAAAGTAGTTCAATTTCTGAAACTGTGATAAAACATTTCGAGTGTCAAGCACTCTCAGATTTTGAACATATATCACTTCCCCTTCTGTGTAACGAAATTCTTTGTTAGCTCTTAAATTTTTGTCTCCTCCCTGTACCCTCCCTCTTTTGTCTGCCCCGTCTGCATCGCCTCCATCACTGCCTCGGACATCTCTGCCTCTCTTTCCCCCACTGGTGTGAAGTTTAGGTCAACTTTTCTGATTCATCGGTCTCTTAAGTCTTAACATTTTTTGTGTGATTTTGTTGGCTGTATAATTT